CGGGACTTGCTGCTCGAGCGGCATCTCGGGGAGGCCGGGGTTTTGGTGCAGGAAGCCGTTGACAAGCTCATCCTGGGGGGTTGCGTGACTCTGGCTGCGGAAGGCGCCCAGGGAACCGTTCGGACCCCGCCCGACCAGTCGGTCGTGTTGCAGGCTCTTGTCGTCTTGGACATGCTTCGAGAACTGGCTGAGCGGGTTGGCCGCCGTCGAGCACTCGGCGCCTCCTAGAAAAGACATGGTGGTTTGGTTCACGTCCCAGCAGCGCTGACAAACACAGCTAGGTCCAGGTCGAGCAGCCAAACTGCGAGTCGTCGGCGTCGCGGTGCTCAAATGGCGGGGACAAGGGGTGGGGAGTCTAAACGGCGGGCAAAGATAGTTGTAAAGCGTAAAATAAAAGCACAAGACTGTAGACTATTATAAACTCGCGTCGGTTGGGAGACGTCGGGCGTGTTTCTGGGCCGCCACCGAAGGTCGAGCTGTGTCGACGTTTACATTAGTGGAAATACCGAGGCTACAGCAACCCCTCTCGGCTTTTTGAGCAACCCCCTGTGGCCCAGCCCCAGGGTCCACCCCGCCCCCCCAACGCCTTGTCTGCCGCGTTTCATTGGCATGTGGCGCCCGGGTCGGGCGTCGATATCCGCATTTTCTTTATATTACGGAATAGACATTCGACAAGTTGGGCCGCAAACCTGCACACTCGCCGTCTGTCGTGGTCAACCAGCGGAGATGTCTCATTACAGCTACATAGTTACACAGCCCATCCGATATCTATACATCTATACAGTCCTTCCAAATACACAACCGAAGAGAACCCGCTGAACTGTCGGCTCGAATACAACGGCTCAAGGCACCTGCTCATAAAATCAGTCCTTCTTGGAAATTGTCTTTCTCGGACCGCTCTCGGCGTAGTCGAGGGTGAGAGGCCTCCCGCCAAGCTGAGACCCATCAAGCTGCGATTTCGCAGCAACAGCAGAGTCCACGTCGGTAAAATCGACGTGGGCGAATCCACGAGGCCATCCGGTGGTGCGGTCAACAGCCACACGAACCTCCTTCACATTCTTGAGCCCCCGAAAGAAGTGGTTAAGATCGGAATCTGTCGCATCTTGGGGGATGCCGCCAATGTATAGTGTCTCAGTAGGTCCGCTGGTCCTCGGTTTGCGTGGCGGGGGTTCACGCTTTAGTCTTGGCTTAACATGGATCTGGCGACCATGCCAAAAGGTGCCATCGCAGTTCTCGACGGCGTTATGCACCGATTCCTCGTCCTTGAAGAAGACAAACCCGAAGCTGGAGAAGCGACAGCGTCAGCAGGCACATCCACCCCGAACCATGCCTTGGACAGCGCCGGCATCAAGAGCACTTACCCTTTGGGGAGACCAGCAGAGTCCCGTGCAATGCGTGCTTCCACCACCTCACCGTACTTGGAGAAGGCGCTGGTGAGGTGTCCGTCGTCTGCCTCAAATGTGATGTTGTGCACAAAGATCGCGTAGGGCGTCGGGTCTACGTATCCTCTTCCTTGTACCAAGTCTTGTCAGATGAACCATCCTATTCTGCTGATGAAACGAGTTTTTGCTTACTGCCTGCGCGAGACGGTTGGTTCAATCCTTGCTTAAGAGGATTGGCTTCTTCCGTCTCAGCATTTGTACTCTCAGCGGTCGCCGTCTCAGCAGTCGGGGGCTCTTCCACATTTCGGGCGCGCGCCGTGAGGGAGAAGAAACGGGCGGGGACCGCCTGGATCTGCTTGGGCAGAGCGGGTTTGGTCGTAGCTTGGACAGCGAACGAAGCCGGAGTGGCTTTTTGCGAGAGTTGTCTCGAAGCGGCGATTGCCGATCGCAAGGCGGCGCGACGTACACAATGCCTGTACCAAAGTTAGATAAAGTCTGACAGTTTTGCAAATGATTGGATTTTACATCTTGAAGACGGATGAGCTGGCGACGGTCCGTGGTAACGTGCAGAGGGGAATCTCGATGGCCGGTGACAAGGAAAGGAGCTTGAGATTTCGAAGCTGAAATTTCGCTGTCAATGGTCAGCAGCAGCAAAGACCCACTCCAGATAAGATAACGTTTGGGACCCTAGAACGAACCCTTGATCTTAAAGCCCGGTGAGGCTAGTCCGAAAGGAGGCACCCTGCTTCAGCATCAACGCTTCAACAAACACATCGATTGCAATTCCAACATGCTTAAATCGCATCTTTGCAAAGGCTCTGTCGCGAGGATCATGAAAAACATTTTTCATATATGGTGTCGATTGCTATAACTATCCGGCAAAAAACTTGACATCTCGAACTCCGTCCGCACCTTTGAAGAGCATTGAACCTTAGCAGTACAGTACGCCTCTTCGCCCCGGTATCGTTATCCGTTTTCTATTTCATTATCAAGTCGTTATAAACATCAATATTAATAGGGCTATCATTCATATCGCCAACTCCCTCAGTCATCACCCATCTGTCCCTCTTTAAACGCTGTCCGCAAGTCTTGACCATCACAGCCTGGCGCTTGCGGGCTCGGCAACCTTCGAAGACCTCTTGACACATTGGAAGTATTTGTTGTTCTTGTCTGGTTGATCGAATGATTTGGGACTGATAACACCACCGGCAGTATTCTTCCCCGTTCAAACTCGGATCTGGTATTGCCGAAGTCGGTTGTCGTCCGCCCTCTGCCGGCCACGTCGACCAAGTTCGGCACTTGTAGCCTTCCAGGAGAAGTCGAAAATGATTGTGACATCTGTGGCTCTCTAGGCTTGATTGGCAACTCTCGGCGGCTTCGCGATGGCGATAATGTCGACCTTGGTCTCGTGATCACGTCCAGCCGATCGACCCCCTCGTCGAGTCGTCGGCGCTCATCCGAAGCGCACATTTCGTGTCTTGATCGTCGTGACTCTTTCGACAACCGCTTGAGATTATCCCTCCGAAACTGATCAAGTTTGTTGTCCGCTGGCAACTCGAAAACCGATGCCCACAACCTTTCACTCGTTTCGGTACTTGGTGGTCCACCACTGCCCCCGTCGCGGAGAAGACGTGTTGAAGACGAGAATGACCGGAATGAGCTTCCAGAGAGTGGCGAAAGACTCAGGGTCTTGCAAACGACGTTGCGGACCTTGTCAACGAATGATGCTTCGTCGGGTGTCTGTTGGCGGTGATCTGGTATTACTGAGTAGAGGCCCTTTGTATCGAACTGAGGCTGCTTCGACCATCGAATCGGTTTTATAGGCGTACCAACGCCCCAATTCTTCAGCTGGCCGTCCTCGAGATCCGTCCGCCGCGCTGTCCTGCGCATCCTCCGAGAGACCATAACCACCATAGCGGCAAGTAAAAAACCTGCAAGACATATGGCAATAATCGCGGCCGGTCTCACAGAATCCCGGTGCTGCAGAATGTAGACGAGGGAGAAAATGACAAGACTAGCAGAGGATACTGTCAAGATCACCAATAGAGACAACTCAAACCGCGAAAAGAGGGGACGGCTTTGGCTGCGAGTCCCCGTCCGTGTTGTCTTGACAGTAGGATGAGACTGCAGTCTCCAAATATCGTTGGCACTCATGACGAGAAGATGACGGTAGTTGAGGATAGTAACAACATTAGAACGTGGGCCGGCTCCGAGCCCAGATACATACAGGGTCGCAGGACATCAAGGACCTGCAGCTTGAAGACGAAGATTATGACAACATAAATCTCCAGCACCTAGACCGCTTCATAGGGCTGAACCGGGGTGGATATATCGTTTCTTCTGCTTCGCAATTCGCAGCTGCGTACCGTACCTAGCGTGACCGAAAATCACGGCTCATAACCGGGCCGGGAGTCGCCATCACCATCTGGGAAACAGCTCCGTGCGGTCATTCCAATCACGAGGATGGTGGCGCCGAGCTGTAGTTTATCCGGAGCTGCGCAGCCATGGGAGCCCGAACCACGTATCACCGGCCGGCGATGGCGATATCAGACTGCGGGGGGGTCGCGCCGGGTAGACCAGTCAGAGGCCGGCATCCCGGAGCTGCGCCATCGTGTCGGGAGCTCACTGCATAAAGCCAACGCACGAAGGGTGGCTAAGCAGCTTCAGTCCCCCGCCAAACCGCTCCCAAGAGCCGCGGCAGAAACGTTACGGCACGGGAGAGCAATTGCCCCAATACACCGCTCATTCTCGAGTTTGGAGTCAAGAGTGGACTGATCAGACCGATATTGGGCCGTGGCCGGAGAGCTTCCTCTTCGGGGCGCCTCTGCGGGGTCGACCGAACAAAACACCGTCGCCCTTCCCCGACGCGTCTCTCCAAGACTTATCAGCACAGCCCCGTCATCGCTTTGGCCTGTCTCACCAGTCTCGACCGGTTTGCCATCGAAGGCACTTTGTTTGGTCCATGCCATGGTCCGTGGATCGATCAATCTGAAAGCTCGGCCGACAGCACCTCGGCAACGGCAAGATGCTCACCGCGATGCTGAGTTTGTCTCAACGGCGGCCTCTGGCCCGGCGTTACGGCAATCTTCCGGCGACGCGTGAGAGTGAAGCAGCCGGCGCTCTCACCACCATCACGCATAACCCTAACCCGTAATCACGTCCACAACCCCTTCCCCCCTCGCCCCCTTTTCTCCTTCCCCCGAGATAGGTATCTCTTGGGAGCAGGTAAATAGTGAATAGTTGGAGGGGTGGTCCATAAGTACCTATTCTAGAAGTTATACCGGTTGTGACTAACAGTTCTACAGCGTCGGCGGTAACAAGAGCGGCACCACACTTGTCACCCGACGGTATGCACATCAAACACCTGGACAGAAGAAATCGTCATCGAATTCCGAACTGACGAGTATCAGCCGCGACGATTGGCCTTGCTTGCGTTCCGCTGCTCGTCCACCGCTGAACTAGATATCGAGCACATGCAGCTAGAAAGTTCAGCGCCAAAGTGCTCGTGCCCCAAGTCATCCCAAGGCTCTCCGTTACGTCGCGTCTTGTCTTGTCCGCTCCGCACCCAACACCGCCTCTTCAACCACATTGGAGCATCACAACATCAACAAACACATCGGGCGTGTGGCTCAGTTGGTAGAGCGTTCGCTTAGCATACTTGGTGTATGCGAAAGGTCCTGGGTTCGATTCCCAGCTCGTCCAAGGCGGGTCCGCCGGTGGCTCCGGCCATCACGGATCTCCAACCCCATCTCTTGGGGCGTGTGGCTCAGTTGGTAGAGCGTCCGCTTAGCATGTTTACTGGTGTGCGGAAGGTCCTGGGTTCGATTCCCAGCTCGTCCATCCCTGGGTGCTAGTCCAGTGGCTGGGTTCCTTTTTGTCGACCTCGACCGAACTTGCCGGGCCTGCTTTGGAAGTTGAGAGTAGGGCCCGGTTTTCTTTTGTCCGACGACTCATCAAAGGGTTGTAAGACCTATCTTCTTTTGCGAAACTGAAACCGAGGAAATCAGCTTATCGGCCAAGTGGTGGTCAGACTCTTCCAGCAACACCATCCTGGCAGACCTGGCCAAGTCGGTCGGTTTCGGTTTATCTCTCCGTAGTGTTCCCGACTCTCCGCTAGCGGGAAGACTCTGTGCTGCTTGGCAACCCGGGAACGTTGAAATCAAGCATGCAGCCTCCCTTCGATCAAAACCCGGGACAACGGAAACCACTATGTATGTTTCCAAGAGAAACTACGCATACCTATTGACTCTGCAACATGACACCAGCACCACGGTTCGAACACCTCCGAGTTTCAACGCAACCTTGACAAGCCGTGGGGTGGGCACGCGAGACACTGCCACGGTGGGAAAGGGGATGTTGCGGTCGGCAATCGGCACCGCCAAGCCGCGTTGTCATTGGGCCATGTGCATGTTGATCTGGCCCTAATGATCCGAGTTTCCCGAGTCAAAGCTGGCGGCTCCGATGATTCGACTTGAGAAACCGGTGGACTCAAGCCGGACTTTGTCGGAGACCAAAAGACCCCGCGCCCGAGGCAGAGTGCCAACTTCACAAGCGTATTTCTTCTTGGCGCCTGTCGTCATCATGTCCTTGCCAATGCCGCCCAGCGCGTGTCAACAGAGTAGCGCATCCGCACGAACCGGCCAGCTGCAATGTTGCGTATCTATGTCCAACTGTGTTTGGGGGCACACACACACACAGTCTCTCTCTCTCTCCCTCGGCTGCGACGGCTCTGCTGACCTCGTTGCTAGGCGTCATGAATCTCTCCTCGACGGGAGGGTCAACAGTCCGAGGCGCACGGCAAGATTGGCTCCATCGCAGAATGATTGCCATCCCCGATGGCTCCTCAGCGAGCAGCGCGCCGTGGTTCCCGGCCCGCCAAGTCCAAGCCAAGTTGGATCCGGTGCATGAGGCCTGCGCGACTCGCAGCCTTGGGTGTGGAGACTGCACACCACCGGTATCAAGGACGTTCCTTGCCCGCGCCGTGGGGATCGAGGTCGAGGGGACATGATGCGCTGGGCGGCGAGTCCCGCCCAGCCTCGGGCAAAAATTCTTGCATAGCGTCTTGTCGGCAGAGTGTAAAAGCAGATGGGATGGTTGACGGTCCTCTTTTTTATCTGGCCGCCCCTTCTTCGATAACAGACCGCAGTGTGCTTTGACGTCTGTCTGTTGTCGTCTTGGAGTCCGTTCTGTTGTTGTTGTTGGCTCCGCGTCCTCTGTCCATACAGCACAGCAGGCGAGAAAGATAGCGACGACGACCTCACCATGGCGATCGGAGCTGTTCTCGAGCCGCTGGTCATTGTAAGTCTTCTGGCCGGCGGGACCCTGGTGAACCGGGACAAATCCCGCAAGTCGTCGCCCTCGTCCTCCCGGCGTCCCGAGCCATGGCAGGATATCGAGTACGCCCTCGGGGGCGATACTCCACCCAACGAGCTCGCCGAGGCCAAGGGCTGGGACGGCAAGCAGCGGACCGCCTCCGTCAGCTCGTCGTCGACCATCTGGCACGATGTTGTTGAGGGCCAGGAGGTTCTTGGTGGGAGCCCCTCGCTCTGGCGCCACCGTACGCTGCGTCTGGGGAGCTGGACGCGCGAGGTGACGGTGCCCAACACCGAGATTCACAAGGACCGCTTCCTCAGCAGGGTGCTCCGCAACTACCCCTTCCTAGTCGAGGTGTGGTACTGGGCTCTGATCTACTGGGTATGCATCTTGCCATCCTCGTCGCACGATGTTTTGCTGACGGTACGCGAATAGGTCTATCAGCTCGGCCGCGCCTTTACTGCTGTGACTCTTCAAGCATCGACCGTCGATACGGCACGCGAGCATGCGCTGCAGGTCATCCATCTCGAACAGCGCCTGGGAATCTTCGTCGAGGTCGCCATCCAGCAGTGGTTTCTTACCCACCCGCTCCTGATGCGCTGGACGAACCGCGCCTACTCCTTCATCCACATCCCGGGCACCATTCTGTTTCTTATCGTTCTGTTCTATACCACGACGACGCGCCCGAAGCGCAGGCTCTTCGAACAGGCTGGTAAGGCGGAGTCGGCTTCTCTCAAACACTGGAGGACGCTCCTCGGACCGTTTGGGCCGGCTATCTACGAGCGTCGGAGACGAACCATGGCCATGTGCAACCTTCTTGCGTTCATTGTCTTCACCTTCTGGCCGTGCATGCCGCCGCGCCTGCTGAGTGCGGACAGTTACACCGGGGAGTACGCGGCCGAGGCCAAGGGATACGGATTCGTGGATACGGTTCACGGCGTGGACGGCGATAGCAGCGTGTGGACGACCAACAGGTTCTGCAACCAATATGGTAAGCTCTCGTTGCTCTCAACTCCGGATGATGTATGTATCTGACCACTCTCCTTACAAAGCTGCCATGCCATCTCTCCACTTTGGATACTCCTTCCTCGTCGGCCTGACCATCGCCACCGTCCCTCTCAGGAAGAGCGGCTACCTCGGCTGGCGGCGTCTCGCCATCGTATGCAGTGGGATGGTGTACCCGTTCATCATCCTCACGGCCATCGTCGCGACGGCCAACCACTTCATCCTAGACGCTGTCGCCGGCGCCACGGCCTGTCTGCTTGCGTGGAATCTGAACGACGGGCTGCTTAACCTGCTCCCGTTGGAGGATTACTTTTTGCATGCTCTGAGGATTCATAAGCCTTAGGTGCGGGGTATGGGCGACATCTGGAGATAGCGGAATGTCGTGCTCTACCTGTGTGGGAAGTACCGGATGGTATCGGGAGGGATGTAAATATATGTGTGTACGTTAGGAGGAAGACATTAAGTGGCGCACACGGAGCGGTTAGTCTTTAATGCAGGCTTGCAAGGGAGTAATATACAAGGTATATATATCACTGGGTTTATGTTGAGTCCTTCTCGATATGATGCAGCTTGTGGGTGAGCGTGAGCAAACTTCAAGTATGGCGAGGTATCTGAGATACAGAGAGGAGTTACAAGGTCGAGAAGGATATCGAGTATCGAGAGCGCAAAGGGGATGGATATGTGGGTACGGAGCTACCCAGACATGAGCCAAGCAATAATCTGGGCACACATCGAGTCTTGTATGGTTATGGGATCAACTGACGATATAGATGTATCAACGGCCTGGACAAGGTACTCCTGAGCAAGGGGCAACTAGCTAATAATAAGGAGTACAACACCAGGTGTAATCCGTATCGTACCAACAATCCACCTCCCTACCTACCTGCCTTGCACCTAGTACAACTATAGGGCTTAAGTGCATATCTGGCCCCATACAGATTTGATTGCCGTGATAATCGAGCGGTAATCATACATATCCCGCTCAACGGTCACCTAAACCACGACGAGAAAATATGCGTACAATACATCATCCCCAAATGAGCCGGAGACAATATATCTAGGTAGACAAGAAAAGAAAAACCCACCCGGAATGCGTGCATGTCTTAGTGACAGCCGTGCCTCACACACACACACACATATATATATATACCTATGCGTGACGACTCGTCAATGGCACGATGAGGTGCTCTACATGTGTAAGAATGCAGCCGCGGAGATATTCAGTCGGATTTCAAGTTCGAGGCCGTTAACGTGGACGATACCGTCAAATCCAAGTAACTTGGGACCCAGTTTATGGGATTCAAAAAATATCACCGTTCACACATAAAGGCATTGTTAGTAACGATTAGGATGAATTCGTATCTCATTCCTGCGGTGTGACTATTCACTTAAACTACCAGACAATAATTCCTACACTCGTCACTCGTCACACCAACACAAAACACACCACTACACCACCACAAATAACCACCTCAGACTTCACATATCAACACAGTCCCGGCCCTCAGTCCGACTAAAAGAAAACCCCCTTGACCTTGTCCACATACTCCCCAGCCGCCACGGCACCACGAGTCTCCCCATCCAGCCAGTCCCTCGCCTTGTCGGCCAACATCTCCCACTCGTCCTTCCGCGCCGTCAGCTTGCTCTCCAAAAAGCCCAGAACCAGCGCCGTGGCCAGCTCCGTCGAACCGACCGAGAACACCCCGCCAAGTTGCGCCGCCCTGGCCGCGACTCCGGCCTCGTCGAGACCCAGGAGGCCGAGAAGCTCGACAGACCACGGCCACGACCCGGAAAAGTCCTGAAGCGCCACGATCGCCTCGAGAATGTCGGTGCGGGAGACAGCTGGCACATAGTCGTCGTAGTCCTCACCCCTCGCTGATTTCCTCATCTTACTACCCCTGGCACGCGTGGACGATAGAGAGAGATCCAAAGTGTTTCGGTCGTCACGATCGCTTCGAGCCAAATACATTTTGGGCGCCGCTAGTTGGGCCATAGGCGGTTGCGCCTTGGCCAGCCGCCCTGATCCCGACACAGCTTGCAGGGCGCCGAACGATCCTCCCGGCGCCGGCGCCGGCTGGGGGTGACCTTTGACACCCAAATCAGTATCATATGCGGCAAAAGAAAGGTCGTCATGGTGTGTCTTTGAAAAGCGAGGACGAGGATGAAAAGAAGAATACGTACCGCGACACCCGAAAGAGCTATCACCGCGCCCCCCGAAAGATCTATCCCGAGAATTATCCCTAGCCGACATCTGGAATGACCTGGGAGGTCCCCGAGTTGCCGGAGGTGGGGGAGGAGCAGCGCTCAATGCCAACTTTTGGTATCCCCGAGTTGCCGGAGGTGGGGGAGGAGCAGCGCCGAATAAGGAAGAGGTCGAGCATGATTCCTGCTTGGAATATTCGGCACTTTGCATGGCATATGGCAGTGGCACCAAGGCGTCCTTCGTTTCTTTCGTGGTCTCATCCACTGCCACGAAGCTGCACCACTTCCCCCCGACCTGATAACGCACGCCTAGACGAACG